GATCTCCATCCATCCTTCACGTTTTACCAAGTCGTGCTTCCCAGAGCCTACTTTGTCCATGGTCTCTGTGGACCCTCACAGAAGCCTTGTAGGTAGGGCAGTTCGATTGATATCCATTGTATAGATGAGGAGACTGAGGCCCAGAGAGGGGCTTTCCTAAGGCTACACAGTTAAGGGGGCCCAAGTTGAGGTTAGAACCCCTGTCATACTCCCCGACCCCTCTATCCCTCATTTCTCACTGAGCATCAGATCTTCCTGCTGAAGCTCAGCTCCTGTGGCATTTGGCTGCTACCTGGGCCCACTGGCAAGAGCCTCAGGAGCTGGAAATTACCCTCCTGACATTTCCAGCCAAACCAGTCCGTGGGCCATAATAACTGGCCCCTCTGCCAGGGGCAGTGCTGACTCAGGGCTCCCTTTGAAATGAGGACCTTTGATAATGGTCCACTCTCCCCCTTCATCTCCATGGTGACTGTGGTGATCTACCCCCAGAACCGGCATGAGATGCTCACCCTGGAGCCCCTTCACACTCTGTTGCGTGAGAAATGGAAGAAGTTTGCGAAGTACATGTTCTTCCTGTCTTTCTGCTTTTATTTCTTCTACAACATCACCCTGACTCTCGTCTCTTACTACCGACCCCGGGAGAAGGAGGTATGTGGGTCCTTTGATGGGAGGTATGGGGTGATCAGAGCTGCAGGAGCTTGGGGAACACTTCATGTACAGATGGGGAAACTGAGGTCCAGAGAGGCCAAGAGATTTGCATGGGTATTCCCAGTTATTGTCCTTCACGGTTTCTAGGGAACTAAACATGTCCCAGGGCTTAGTCCCAGGGCTTAGTCCCAGGTGCTCAGCCCCAGAGTGACCCATGTTGGGCAGAGAGCTTGAGGATAAGGAGACCCAGGCCCTGCCCAGGCTCTGTTTAAATCTGGAGCTGAGTAGGTGTTTCTGCTGTGAGGACGACAGGAAATGGGAAGAGGAGGAGGTCACTTGGACAAGCTTTCACAGCACCCTGGGCCTCAGTTTCCCACCTATTCCCCGGGGCACAGAGTTTCAGCTTTATTTAATTGTGCCATGAGGCCCTGTGACTGTCTGGAATTGGATGGGTCCTAGAACAGACAAATACCATGAGATGTGAGGGTTGTTGGTGTGGACTGATTCATGCTCCTCGCTGGAGAGGTCTGGGTTTCCACCATGGGTGGGGAAGGCAGGGGCGAGAGGCTGTTGTTCCTTCCGCCACCATGTACAGAGACTGGGCTTCCTGCTGGCAGCTGGCCCGGCATGAGGGTTCATCATGTGTACGTGCATGGTCCTTCCAGAGCTGGCACTGCCCCTGCTCTCCTCACTCTCCATCCCACACCACCTATTCCCTTTTCGTTTTCCCCAGGCTCTCCCACACCCCTTGGCCCTGACGCACAAGATGGGGTGGCTGCAGCTCTTAGGAAGGATGTTTGTGCTCATCTGGGCCACGTGCATTTCTGTGAAAGAGGTGAGTGGGCCACTAAACCCTTCCGGACTGGCCTGTGATGCAGGCAGGTGACAACAGGCCTGGCCTCTCTCCTGCCCTGCTCTGCTATTACTGCTGGGGGAGGGGGGCATGGGGAGCCATTTTCTTTTCTTTTCTTAAAGATTTTATTGTGGAATTGGGGGAGGAGAACAGCGTTGGGGAATCGGGGAAGGGGAACAGACAGGTAGACAAATTGCTGTTTTTGTTCTTCAGTCTAGTTGTGGAGGACTTCGCTTCACTGGCTCATGTTGGTATGATCATTGTGCTCTTCCCGGGTGAGGCAGATCGGTTACTGGTCATTGGTCAGCCACTCACAGCGGCTCCCGGCAGCTCACACCGGTTGCCGGCCGCTCACACTGGCTGCCGGCCGCTCACATAGCTCAAGGCAGCCCACTGCAGCCCACTGCAGCCCCACTGCAGCCTACGCTGTTGCCGGTGACTCACAGCAGCCCAGCTCCAGGTCAAGCTGTTGTTCATCATCTTAGCTGTAGAGGGCGAGCGTCATTGGCCCTCAATGTGGGATCCGAACCATAGCCCTGCTGCTCAGAGCTGGCACTCCCAAGTGAGCCCTTCTTAACCAGCTGAGCCACTCGGCTGGCCCAAGGGGTGCCATTTTCTTTCTAAGCTTTAGGTTTCTTAGTTACAAAATGGGAATAAATAAATAAGCAGGCCTAGCCTACCTACTTCATCTATGCACCCCTCTATCCGTCTATCTACATCATTTATCTACCCTCCCAGCCACACAGTCACCCATCTTCCTTTCCCCTCCATACATTCATCCAATCACCTGCCCTCTCTCATTGAGTCAGCCACTGATTCATCCATTCAAATACCCACTCATCCTTACCCACTATTCTTCCATCCTTTCATCTTTCCATCTCGTTATCAGCCAATAACTTGATTGATCCATCCATCCATATATTCAACCAATAAATTAACAGGTATATTCTGAACACTTTCTATATGATAGGGGGAGAGAGGGTTTGTCCTCTTTGAGCTCATAGTCTCATAGGGGATTTCAGAAGGACAAAAACATCTAGACTTTGAGATAGACTATGAAAGCTCACATTGGATTCCGAGGAAGGTAGATGACTTTTATCTGGGGACAGGGGAGGGAGGGAGGGAAGGTTTGAAGTCAGAGATGGTACTTACTCTGGTAGGACTGGGCATAAGGACATGGAGGAGAAGGTCATTACAGGACAGGCATGGGGAACAGCATGGACAAAGGCTCTGAGGCTGGAAAGTGAGGTGGCCATATTTGGGGAATGGCAGGAAGCTACATGGTTGTGCTGCTTTGCAGGTTCTGTGGTGAGGATGAGGGTGAGAGCGGAAGATATAAGAAGACTTGGGGGAGCATGCACTCTTTCTCTGAGGTCTCCTGTGTCCCCCAGGCACAGGTGCCCCTCTGTGCCCCTCACTTGGGCTCTGGCTGAGCCTTTACATGCTAAGTCTTGGTCCTGAGGAAGCACCTGCTTCCTCAGATCCCCCAGTGAGGGGCACAAAGAGGCTTCAGCTTTTCCTTTCTTTCTGGCCTCAGGGCATTGCGATCTTCCTGCTGAGACCCTCAGATCTGCAGTCCATTCTCTCAGATGCCTGGTTTCACTTTGTCTTGTAAGTACGTCTGTCCTCTTGGTCACCACCTCACAGGCAGGGCTAAAGTCCTGTTTGGTGACTGCTGTGTCCTTCTGGAATAGCTGCCCTACCATGTCACCGTGTCCCAGCCATTCTGCCATAGTCACATGGCCAGGGACCTCCTCTCTAACTTCTGGTAAGAGAGGTACATAGATGCCCTTGGAGAGGTCCAGTAAACCCTAGGACAAATGCCCACCATCTAGCTGCAGTGATGGCTGACTCCCCCCCCCACCCCCGCCACAGAGCCCTGGGTGGCAGACAGCATGGAGAAGGCATGAAGAGGTTTAGCAGTGCTGTTTACTTTGTTTTACTAAGGGCTCCAGCCCAGCTCCTCCAAGTTGCGTAGGATTTAGAAGTTGTCATCTTGGACCCTGGCAGAACAAGGCTGGGAGGTGCTTGAGAAATCATTGAGTCTCATCTGCAGGCATGAAAACTGAGGCCCAGGCCAGGGAAATGAGTCACTCACTGTCACTTAGAGCGTCAGTGGTGTCAAAGCCAGCCTCAGCTTCCCAGTCATCTCCCCACGCTAGTGCAGGCTTGGCTACCATAGGGCCCTCACTAGAAAACCCAGCTCAGCCCTGTCTGAATAAGGTCATGTGCACCGGACATTAGAGGCTTACGTGATCCATCTCTAAATGAGCAGAGGCTGATTCAGCATTGCTGCCATGTGAATGGAATANGATCCTCATCCCTGCTGAGTCCTTTGCACCTGGAGGCAGCTGCAGACCGGGAAACCCCCTCAGGTGGTAGGCCACCCCAATAGCGACCACTGGGTTCATCTGCCCAATATTTCTAGTGACGAGTCACCCAGACCCAGCTTTGACTCCAGACCTACCTACTGTGTGACCTCAGGCAAGTTGCTTGACCTAAGAGCCCTGTGAAATGTGGGTGATAAGGGCGGCACCCACCCTACAGGGCTGCTGTGAGGGTTAAGCAAGGGCACGTGGGCACAGAGCGCAGCATGGAGCTGGTTGCATGTGAACACTCAGGGCCGGTGGACATCCTTGGTAGCAGGGCGGCAGGACACACAGGTGGACAGGCCCTGCCCCAGCTCTAATGGCCTTGCTTGCGTGTCCCCCCAGCACATACTTCTTCCTGGAGATAGAAGGGTTCGAGCCTAACCCCACTGTCGCCAAGACCTCTCCCCCTATCTTCTCCAAGCCCATGGACTCCAACATCCGGCAGTGGTGAGTACAACCTGCCACCCAGTCCCCTGCTCCTTGTCCTGGCCGGTCCTCAGCTCCAGTGGGTGAGCAGCGACAGGCCCCGGGCCACATGGCCAGGCCTGGCTGTGGCATGCTACCACTGTCCGTTGTTAAGCTGGTTCCTCTTTCTTCCCTTCCCCGTCCCCTCTAGCATCTCTGGCAACTGTGATGACATGGACTCCCCACAGTCTCCTCAGGATGACATGACAGAAACTCCATCCAATCCCAACAGTCCCAGGTGAGCCTGGCCTTTCCTCTCCTCCCACAGTGCCCACCAGGCAGGTGCCAGAGGGACAGGCACTGGGACCATGCAGGAAAGAGAAAGAAGACACCATTCTGAGGGGCTAGGGCAAATGCCTGGACCCATGGCTGTGATGTGTAGGAAATTTTTTTGGGGGAGAGGAGTATTACATTTTATAAACTGTAAAAGTAATATCCATTCATTACAGTATGCAGCAGAACGAGAACTTAATGCAATACCATATTCGTAAATTAAAAATACCTGCATCTAAGCCACCAAACATCAATGTGCATTTTGCAAGAGCACAGCAAACAAAGGATACACATCA